CAAGTGATTTTAGGCTGTTTTGTATTGTTTAATTTCAACATACATGAAGGTATGGACAGCTATTTTGAAGAGAACCAGAGACATTATGGCAGCCATTGTTGATTTTCCTATTGTCTGGTTTTGAAGCTCTGTACTGCCTTCATTACTCCGTTCTGATCAGTTCTGTACTATTTTGTTTTGTATGAATTCATTGTGTGTGAAGATATAGACAACCATTTAGAAGAAAACAAGAGACATGATGGTATCCACTGTACATTTCCTGTTGTCTTGCTTTGAAATCTGTGTCACTTATATTGTTTTCTTTTGATATGCTTTGTTTCGTTTTGTTGTTTTGTTTTACCCTCTTTAAAACAAAAACAAATAAATTGACACATCACTTTGATAATATGAGAAAAAATTTCAGCATAACAAAAATTCTCTTTTGCAGTGATACTTCCAAATTGAAATAAAATCCTTGGTCTCACAAGAGTATTTCTGCATAGTCTCAAGGTAAGAACAGATCTTTCCATTTTTAAAAGGTTATAAAATGTACAACAGAGGCTGCATGCAACCCATACGACCTAAAACATTTACAGACTTGCCTTTAATAAAAATATGTTGTCAACATCAGTATTGTTACTTAAGAGTTAAAACATCCTCTTCCCACACAGTATTTCATTTCTCCTTAAGTTTACTACTAATTGTCATATTGATTTTTATCTTCTTTGGCAGGACTACAATGCAGTTTCTACAAGAACTGAGACCTTCTTTAGTTCATCACTGAACCTAGAACAGTACAATGCTCTTAAAAGATGTTAGCTGGAAGAATATAAAGTCCTAAGGTATTATTATTTCTCCCATAACCTGACATACATTTACACAATGAAGTTTTCTGTTATCATTTGGGAATTAATTTCTATAATTTGCTTTACAGAAGTTATGAATTTGTCATCCAAGTTTTATCTCTGTGCACCAGTGTAGTCACTTTCATAAGTCATAAGGGGAAGAAAATGTAATTGGTAACAACTAAGTCTCGCTGAGTGATCATGCTTCATGAATCAGTACACAGCACTAATGAACAGAAAAGTCAGCTGTGCACATGCTGAACAAAAATCGATTGTTTATTAAAAGTGCAACAAATAACATTGAATAGGTCTCAGCATGATATATAAAGTGCCATCTCTAGCTTTTTTCCAAAAGTGACAGATATGTTCAGTTCAAAGATCCAAGAAATTTAACTGTAATATCAACAAAGCATTTTCAGAGGCAGAAATATAGTTGCACAGTGATAATTTCTTGTTCCTTATATTTTATTTGTCAACATACAAATCGGTTACTGGTACCACAGTGCTAACAATCTAAAAAAAACGTAAAGCTCCTCTTCCCTTACCCAAAATGAAATCCAAAAACTTCTAAACCCAGTGACCATAAAATCTACTCTAGAAACATAAGTCAAAAATACAAGATCTGCAGCTGTGCTCAGCATCCAAACAGCCACCATTCCCAGGATGGCGATCCATGTATATACTGCACCTTCTTCTGGCTCTACTTTGATTAAGAAGAAACAGCAAGATGTGCTTAGCTTCTTAGAAGCCAACAAAATAGGAGTTGAAGAAAAAGATATTGCAGCCAATGAAGAGAATCTGGAGTGGATGAGAGAAAATGTACCTGAAAACAGTCGACCCGCCACCAGGTATCCTTGCCACGTCAGATTTTCAGTGAAAGCCAGTACCATGGGGATTATGATGCCTTCTTTGAATCCCGAGAAAATAATTCAGTGCATGCTTTTTAGGCTTGAAGGTACCACCTGGTTTGAAGGAAGCAGAAGCCCAGGCAAAGCAGCAAGCGTGAACCTTAAGCCTTCTGCATTAACCATTCTGCCTTAAACATCTTGAATAATAAGTCCCTATTGCTTTTATAAAATAAGTTTCTCAGGTAACAAAATTATTTTGGTTTCAAAGAAATTGCTCAAAGTTAAAGTAATCAGGTGGTATTTTCATGTACAGTAAAATAATTGTGTAATTAAAATATGAACATTATGTTGAGGATAATTGGAGATTATGATAAAATTTTAAATAAATATCATGGAATAGTATCATGTGCCAAGACATTTTTGGAATTTGATGATTTTTGAAAAGACAATATCCTTTCTGATAATGTTGCAACTTAAGTCTATCTGCAGCTCACCAGCAAGAAAGAGAGAGAGAGAGAGAGAGAGAGAGAGAGAGAGAGAGAGAGAGAGAGACTCCATTTCTTGTTCTCAAATTGCTTCATTAGTTTCAGTGAATAACAATGTGTATGTTTTTGAAGTGAAGTTGTGATCAAGCAGTGAGTGGTTCTGGTACGTGAAACACTGTAATTTTATGTGGTAATTATCACATTCCCATTCTCTTATAGAAGAAACTTCTGTATTCTGATCCACAATCTTTCCAGGATTCTTAGTGTAGCTTTTCATGCCACATTAAATAATCAGATTATATGACCCCCTCCATAAAACCAGTAAATGCAGTCAGTTGACAAGTTCCTTATTGTGCTGCATTCTCATGAATTGATATTTCTGAGTTAGTTACCTCAGTGAAATATGCATGTTTTGTCATGGAATTGGGACAGCCTTAAAAAGGCGTCTTCTTAAATAGCGCTCAGATTTTAATTAACTATTTAGGGGCTGGAGATTTAGCTCAGCGGCGTAAGTGCCTGCCTTGCAAGCAGGCAGTCATGAGTTGAATCCCTGGTACCGATAAAAAGGAAAAAGACAAAAAAAAAAACTATTTAAAAGTATATTGGCTTATATTGCCCAATATTTGTTTTCCACAGGTTTTTGCTTAAAGAAATTTTGGTGAATTTCCCCTTTATAAGCCAGGTTGTGACTATGAATGCTACAGTCTCTTGATATTGGAGTTTTTGTTCCAGTTTAGTCATAAACTGTTTGAATACATCAATACAGATAATATTTTCTATATCCCTATTACATGAAAAAGTACAAATTATCAAGGGAAATAAATATGTTAATCAGTATTCCATTGTTGTGACAAAAATATCTGAGAAACAATTTTGCAGAAAAAAAGATTCCATTTGGCTCATGGTTTTGGAGGTAGCAAACAAGAACATTAACATACTGGGGAAAACACCATAGATAGAGCTGCTCACCTCATGGTAGCATGGAAACAAAGTCCGAAAACTCCCTTCTGCAACAAAGCTTCTTCCCCTAAACCCATTCCAATATGCATTCATCAATAGGTCAATACAGGTTAATTTGTTGATAAGGTTAGAGCCCCTGTCATCCAATCATTTCAAAAAGCTTCACCTCCACCTCCTGCGGCTATAGTGACCAAACCTTCACCACAGGAACTTTTGAGGCACACTGCAGCTACAAATCATAACAAAGGGCATCTTTTAAAATATTATTATAGACTTCTAGACAGAAAATATCATCTAAATAATTTAACGCAGAAAAAAAATTCTATTTTAGTTCCATACTAATTATCTCTAAAAACCCAACATTTTTTTCTTTACCAGTCTGTACTCTATAAAAATCAACATATAATGCAAACATAGCTTTATTGATAATAATGTAATGCTTAAAATACTCAGTACTTTCAGAAAAAAGAAAATATATAATAAATGCTACTAATATAGTCTATCACTATATCACATGATTTATTAAATATAGTTGAAATTTATTTGACTGGAATTCTCTTTCTTCCTTGGCCCAAGAATAAAAAGCATGTATCAGATTTTAAAGCATCTAAGGAAGTTTTTAAAAAACATGGCCAATTTTTTTTTTTTTTTTTTTTTTTTTTTTTGTCTCTAGAACCAGAAATAACACTTAATGCTTCTCCACGATAAAGTACATCAGACTCACAGGTTCGGAAAGATCTCTGCAAATTGAAACAAACCAAAATAACAGTGTCTCCCTACCTAGCTCTGACTCCCAAAATAATGACTTTTAACATTTCCATAAGTTGGTCTCCTAGCAAAATGCTAACTTTTTCTGGTTTTTTTTTTTTCTTTTTTTGCAATAGTGATATCTGAGGACACATTTTGACCTTTTGTGTATTTTTTTTTCCTTGACTGATAAACTCGCGTATGCTTGTGACGTGGTAAACTTCAACACGTCGAATCAAAAGCTCGAGGCTTCTGTTCCTGTTAAAGGTTAGCAGTAATGATTCTCCTTTGGAATGGCCCACAGCCAGAACAAATGTATCAACAGATGAATGACTGAATAACGATAGGCATCCACTAACGGAGGGGCTACGAAAATTTGTGCCTAACTTTATAAAAAGGACTGTGGATCCCTATAAACCCAGGGATCCACATCTCAGGAGCTCGGCGTTTCGAAACCCACAGACTCTGTGGACTAAGTGAAGAAACTGAAACAACGCCAGCAAAACAATGCCTAGCCAAGCCGAGGGCAACGAAGCGCGGATTGCCGGGGCTGGGCGCACAGTCAGTCCGGCCAGAGCCGCTTCTCCGGGAAGAGGGCACCACACCCCAGGGCAGGAGCCAAAATTCCAAAGAAAACTGCAAGATCCCTGGAGCTGTGGAGATTCTGTGGGAATGTACACGATACTTTCGGAAAAAGCGACTGCTAAAAGAGGAGCAGAGAGGGGCGCAAGAAATGCATCCCTTTCTTTCCACGGACGACCCTAACTGGTAGACTAAGATAGCGGACGCCGGATGCTTGCGTCATCTCCCAGGGCCGGAACCGTTATTACCAGAAAGGAAAAGCCTCGGATGGTACCGTCTAAAGCTCAAATCATTCTTTCACTCTAGTAGAAGCAGCATAGTCAGATTGAAAAGGGCGAAGAAAAGACCTTCTGAACTAAATACTGTAACTGTGTACAGGTATCTAATATAAACTGTCTCCAGATCCGTTTTGCTTTTACCTTTATGTGTCTGAATTGGACATTGCCCAAAGAAAAGATGGTGGCGAAGGCGCTGGGCCTTACCATAGAGTCTCAACCCTAGAAGGGCAGGTGGGTGTGTCCTGTGGGCGGGGAAACGCGACCTACGACCCCGCTTTCATGACGGGTGCTGGGGGCGTGGCCAGCAGTGATCCCTCCGGCGTCTGCGCGAAAATGGAGGAGGAGGAGAGCATCCGCGTGGTTCATTGTGGCGGCAGCGAGTTGAACTTTAGGAGAGCAGTGTTTTCTGCAGATTCTAAGTATGAGGGCTCCGCGCGTGGTCGGCAGGGCTGAGGGACGGGAGTTCCTGGAGGGCCCGGGAAGGAACTGTCCAGGGTTGCCGGGATCTGGGCTCTGCCTTGGAGACGCGCGTGCCGAGACCCCGGGCGCCCAGGAGGAGCGAGGCAGCGGGATCCTCAGGTCCTGGGGCGCTCAGATTGGGGACGGGTCACCTCACCTGAGGGGTCGCTCCACATGTTCAGAGCCTGGAGCGCTTGGAAGTGCTGCACGCGTAGAGATGTACGGTAGAGAGTGGGCTTCCGCCCGCGTCCGCGCCGGAAAAGGCGTCTGGCAACCTGTGTTGGGGCTTTGCAGGAAAACAGATGTTGGAGTCGGTGGGAGACAAAAGCGGTTCTGCCTGGTGTCTTCCCAGAGGAGTTCAGTGTGTCTAGAAGCCAAGCTGCTGTCAGAGTGCCAAACCTGATTCTTACTTGTGGGACCTTCCCAAGCTTCTGGCTCTCTGCCTTAGTTACCTCTGTAAGATGGTGATAGCATTTAAGATCTCCCTGCCACGGGATTCTTGGGAGAAGTAAATGTCCAGTAGATGTCCAACAGTGCGTTTAATGGCCCACTCTGTGTCAGCTGTCATTGCTGCATTGCATCATATAGAAGTGACATTGTAAATCATTGATATTTGCTTAAAAGTCTCTTTAAAAGAGTAGACATTGTATCCCATCCTGTATAAGTCCTGCATACAAGTATATGGCAGGTAGTTGACTATATACGCTTGATAGAACAGGCTTTCTCACACACACCGATACCTCATCTTTACAAAGAGGCTTTGTTGGCCTTCGTCAAAGGAAAAAACTGAACCTTAAAGACGCTGTCAGATTTCTGCCTTTTCAGACCCGTGTGCTCCTCCAGTGTCCTGTTCTACACCTTACTGAGGTCTGTCGTCCATTGTGTTTGCTGAACCCCACAGTTCGTTTTCCAGTCTTTGTCAGCTGTGTGTATAACTAACTGAGATAAGGAAAACAAAGATAGGTCAGTCAAGTACTGATGCTACCTCAAGGAACTTCATTTAAGGAAGCCAAGTAAACGCAACAGCAGATGTTTATACCGCAGGGGCTTGAAAGGAGGAAGGATAACTTCAGACTGAGGAGGCTGAGAAAGTGATACCCAGGCTAATCCTAGATTGGTGGGTTGTGTAATTGGGATTTTCTCACACTGCAAAAGGTAAAAAAAGCACAGAATGCCCAGGCTGTATGAGAAAAGTGTCAAATATAACAGGCATAGGGCAGTTTTTATTTGGAATGTACAAGAAAAATTTGTGTGTGTAAACTTTGTCCTTTAGTAGTTTGTTATGAAAATAAGGATTATTTCAGTTGAACTACTTTTAATAATTTAATAGTAATCTCTGCTATATGAGATATATCCCAAAATCTAGACATAAAAACAAAACCAGCGTTTCAGCAACAAGAAAAAAAAAAGAAACCGATGTAAAGATTTTGAGGTTTTGGTACAAGAGAGGCCTAGACTTCACCAAGCAGAGCAGAGCAGACCCTTACATTTATAAGCTGGTGTGCCCCAGTGAACCTTGGAGAGTTAAGGGACACGGAAACACACTGCTGACAGAAATACCATTCAGAGTAATAGTTAATAGTAAATTAATAACATAGTTTCCACTTATTTAGTGAGCAGGTACTTGGTTAGGCTGTTTGTGCAAGGTGGTTCTGTATAGCCTGTGTCTGAACAACCAGGGACGTGACACTGGCCTCCTGCTGTCCTCTGAGTTAGTGAATGAGCTGGTCATCGATGTCCCCACAGGTTTCAATGTACAGTTCTTAAACTATTTGAAAAGAAACCTCTGTTGCATGTTACTGTTTTTGTAATGGACCATAAAAGGATTATACCGACTACTGAGTATGTGAAACTATTTTTCTTTCTTTTTTCCCAGGTACATCTTCTGTGTCTCTGGGGACTTTGTGAAAGTTTACAGCACAACTACTGAAGAGTGTGTGCACATTCTGCAGGGACACACCGACCTGGTGACCGGAATCCAGCTCAACCCTAGCAACCATCTGCAGGTGCCACACAGTTTCTAGTTGAATATTTTAACATCAGCCTGGTTGATGAAAGAAAAAGTTGAGTTAAATTTGGCTTAGGAAACTGCAGGTTAGGATAAGGCATGATCTGTTGGTGTTCTTATTCAGAGTATTTTTCAGCTGTTTTAGTTTCAAAAGCAGAATCACAGCCTGGAGTTCCACTGGCCATGGGGTATTCTGCCAGCTATTTTTTCCCTAGAATACTTACTGAAAAGGATGTTCTTAGTTGTATGAATTCCTGAAATTTAAGCACAGTTAAAATTTCTTAATTGCAGGTCTTCTTAGATCTCTTTAAAGCATTGACATGACTATCTAAAGGTTTATGTGTTCTAAATTTTATCCCAATAATATTTTGCTCTTGTTATAGTTCTAAACAAGTTTCCTCTTCTGGATTAGCCATGCCAAGTTGAAGTTATTGTTGATTGAAAAGTAGATTCGCATCACCATTCAGTAGCCTTTATCACAAAAGTAGGCTATAAAGTAACCCTGATTTCTTTCCAAAATTAAATGAGCTGATTTTTAAAATCAAAGTTCAGTAACATTTTTGCAAGGTCCAGATAGTCTCTACATCCTATCCTGTGAGGATTTGACAAAAATGTATTATTATATGTGTCACTTGAACATTTTAATAGGAAAAAGTTCTTTGATTATAATTGAAATTTGCAAATTGTGCATGACTAAGTTTTATGCTCAAACAAAAATCATAGACACATCACATACAGGCTCTCTGTTTCAGGTGACTGAAAGTTAGAAAAAGAGAAAGGCAATTTTAATCAGGTTTGGTTGACCTTGAAGAAGTAAGAAGTCACAGTTTGTATGAACCATTATTTTGACAGTTAATACATTTGACTCTTTATTTTATTAATCTAAGCTTATGATTCTTACATGCAGTAACTGGTATGCATTTTCTACTTCGTATAATTCTTTTGCTTGAATAGATAATTTGTTTTATTCCAGCATTTTACTGTGAATTCACATGTGTTCACGGAAATCCTAAAATGGTCACTTTGCTTTAAAAAAAAAAAAAAAAAAAAACTTGCAATTCTTTGTAAGCCATTTAAGCAACAATTTTTTTAAAAATTATATGTAAACTTAGTAAAACTGAGTCCACTGGGACACAGATAAACCTACAGGGTCACGTAGGCTTTGCGGTGCTCACATGGCCCACAGACCAGGGCTCTACACTGATGGAGGCCGATCTCCAGAGAGATCAGTGCAGGAACAGAGCATCCTGGAACTTTGTAGTGCTTTGACATCGCCACACCACCCAAGGGCATGACGGTTTCTATTGTATTTTAGGAAAGTATGGTCCTTGATGGGGGAGCTTTTTTTTAATAGAACATTCTCCGATGATTTGAGAGGGACTTCTTTGAAGCACTTGTGAGGTGAAAGCAATGCAGCTAATAAAAAGGGACCAGGCTTTGGGGAAGAAACAAGCAAATCCCTGAGTGCCTCTCTGGACTCAGTGCCTTACATGTCCTGCTTGACTGAGGTTGATTTTTCTCCCTCAGTTTTAGTGAAAACTTGAAATGAATGGATTTGCTCCCTCCAGCAAGATGTAATGCTGCCTTTTGCAGAAACAATACAAGATGAGCATCCCATATCTGAACGAATGGAGCCACAAGGGTTTTAGATTGTGCAGTTTTTTAAAGGTGTTGCGTTACCTTTATTGGTTGAATAGCACTAGGTTGAAAGCCTGAAGCCCAAAATACTCCAATCTGGAACTTTTTGAAAATGTTCATGGTGCTCAAAAAGTTGCAGATTTTAGTTTTTCGGATTAGGAATGTTCAACCTGCATAAGCTCCGCCACTTTAAAGCTAATGTGAATTAACAGAAAATGCTTTGTGTATCAGCATTTATATTCATGTCATATTTTTAGTGGATTTTGTTCTTGATCAGCTTTGTATTGTTTTTACCCTTTTAGCTGTATTCTTGTTCCTTTGATGGTACAGTTAAATTGTGGGACTATCTAGATGGCATTTTGATTAAGGTATGTGGCTTGATCTTAAGTTTTCCTTGTGTAAAAAGATATGAGAACATAATGACACTGTTTTCTTCTCTAAGACGTAATCTTTGGTGAGACTTCCTGAAAAGTCATGAAATTCATGCACCATTTTTAAAAATTGTGTATTTGACTTAATAAAAATATTCAATTTATAACATCAAAATATAAGTTCAAAACACTGGAAGAAAATGCATACCAAAGACATGATCCTTAGTGTGCAAAAATATTCCCAGTGATCCAAAAATAAATAAGTGAGCATTGGGTAGCAATACATGAAAATCACACAAAAAGAAATACAAAAGCTAGTTAACCTGAAGAGATGATTAACCTCATTAATAATTTGAACAGTGTAAATTAAAGTAAATGACAGCACATTTTTCTCCATCAATTTAGCCAGATTGCACATTGAAAAAATGTTTAATGATAAATAATGTGTAAAAATACTGGACATTTTTTAACATAATGAGGGCATAACTGAATGTAAATTTTATGCCTTTTCCAGCAATCTCCCTATTAGAATCTCTCATTTAGATAGTTGTATTTATAGTCCTTAAAATATTATTGATGGTAGAAAAAATTAAGTATAACTTTGATACCACTTAAAATTATAATACATTCCATTGAGTAGATAAAAATCAGGTGGAGCTATATGTACCAAACTAAAGATTTTTCAACAAATAAATGTCGAATGTCATCGATAGACCAGATGCTCTTCTAATGTTAAGAACACAGTTTAACACACACACACACACACACACACACACACACACACACAGTGGAACTAACGTCCTCTTGGGTGGAAATAGACAGTAATGAACAGTGCAGTGCTTTTTATCTTTCAGACTTTCCTTGTTGGGCCTAAACTTTATGCCCTCTTTACTCACCACAGTGCTGAAGATTCTGTCTTTGTTACAATAAACAAAGAAGAACCAGGTATGGTATACTGCATTGATTGTGTTTTTAAATGACATGGAATAGCTCTTTACATTTTACAGATCCATATAATGTAATATTTTGATTTCAAACTGAAGCTGACAGTTTTTGGAGTTGTCATTTGCATTGCTTTTATTATCGTTATATTCACTTGGAGAGGCTACTAGTTCTGAAATATGCAGTGAGAGAATGATTGCGTACACTTAAAATAACACACTTTCAAGCTCAGATTTTAAAGCTGCATTATAAAGGGCTAGACTTGTCTTCCTACTGAACTGGCAGTGTGTCATGCTTACCTGTCACCATCCTCTTACCTGTTACTATATGCCAGTTTGTTGATACTAAATCATTTTAGGAAATGGTATAGGAAATAGGTTGGTATTGAGAACCAGTTGTGTGGCTGAATTACTGTATTTTTACTGTCATTGGAACACTAGTCAATTGAAATAGCCAAGTATCAGCATTTCAGGAAATAATTGCGTTTAATCAAAGAATTTGATCCAGCAGAATACTGCCATGAAAGATACAACCAAAAAGAAAATTTCTAAACCCAGAACCAAGAATGCCACTGTGCCTGTGATGCCCTCCGTAAAATACATCTATGTTCACAGTTAAAGTACAAAGCAGCTCTGAAGTGGGTACTGGGCAGTCAGCTCACCTAGTTGGTAGTTTGTTAACTGGGTGAATCCTGCAATATTTTTACTCATTTTAGAGATATATAAATTAATATATACATAAAGTAACCCGTGAATTGTCAAAACTTCAAAAGGTAAATTTTTTTTTTTTTCACTTAAAAGTTACTCCGTGCCAAATCTGGGAATGAGCAATACTGTGTCTACCAAGATCGAGGCATGAAAGAAAAAGAAGTAGGCTGTTTAGGTTTCTTACATGGCTCATGAGCCTCCGGTAAAGGACATCCACGAAATGTCCTGAAAATAGCAGTTTCCTTAAAGCAAGTGACCTCCCCAGATGGGGACTTTCAAAGACACCATTCTTTTCCATAAATTTAGTTGCTTTGTGCATAATAACTGTGTGGCTTTTAAATATCAGTCCGTACTGGTTACTGAAAACTCAGATCTGTAGTCTCCTGCTGGTAACTGTTGGCCCAGGCCCGGGCTGTGGTTTAGGAATCTGTATTTGTAGTGTCTTCCCAGCTGATTGTCACCACTGGGATTTGGTAACCACCTCTGTGTCACCCCATGCCTCTGTGTAGAGGTAGTTGCCTATACCATAGCAGAACTTGTCCAGACCTGTGAGACCAGTGCTGGCACGAGGAGCACCGTGGGACCCTAGATAAGAAGACATTCTGTGTGGGACCCAATTGCTACTTGCAAACTCCCAGCTGGGCCCACTGAGCAAATGCAGTGAGAGCTGCGGATCCAGAGTAAAGGTCTCGGTCCTGATCTAACCCAGGTCCACAGCAGCGCCCGGCGTTTCCCCCAGGACCTGGCAGCTCTCAGGCAGCCTGCAAGAGTCTGGCCGTTGTGATGTAAAACCGCACGTGGGGCCTGAGATTCCCTCGTGCCAGCCAGCTTGCAGTGCCACCATCCGGCTTCACTCCTGTCCTCTGCGCCGCAGCTGCGGAGCCTCTGCTGAAAAATCATATGCTGCATTTTAAAAAAAAATTAATCTTCTGTTTGCATGTTGTCTTTTATGGCTTCATTTCTTGGCCGTAGAATGCAATCATTCAGCAGCTAATTGAGCACCTGGCCTCAATTCACTACCTGGCCAGGAACAAAACAGACGCTAAGTCCCAACAGTAAGCTGACCGGGTCTCTTAGCACGGAGTATGTCAAAAGGTGTAGCGAGCAGTAGGCAGCGGAGGGCCCTGGCAGGTGGGAGAAGTGCGGCTTACATGAGCGGTCGGGAGGTCCTGGAGGGAGAAGGGTAAACGCGTAACCAGAGCATTCGGGACGTGTTCGGAGTGGCAGGAAGGCTCTTCACAGTGTGCCGGGAGAATAGCTATTTATTACCTTGCAGCTGAGTTGAAAGACTTAATTTTATTCTCTAGTTTTAAAAGAATGTCTTAGGGAGTTTTGAAAAGGAAGAAGAGCGTGTCAGTGTTTGCCCTGTGATTGTCGCGCCAAAGCCCATTTCTGGAAACGCTGAGACGGCTCCCTGCTTTGGTTTCTCACCTTCCCTTAGTATTTGAAGTTTGTGTCCATGTTAAACGTCGACTTATTTCTGTTTCCGTGGGGCTGGTACTCAGGTAGACGAGTTGTGGATTAAACTTCCATTTCAAACTCATATATTCAGAGTTCAGCATTAAGGTATGTTTTTGTTCAGTAGCCTAGAGTTCAATTTCAACATTCTAGGGCACTGATTTTAGACGTTTCTTATGATAAATGCCCATGTCCACTTTCTTTAGAGAAACTGTAATAATACGGCTTTCTTTGGGCAGATGTATTTCAGCTGGTTTCGGTGAAATTGCCGAAATCCCCGAGCCAGGAAATAGAGGCCAAGGAGCTGTCTTCCATTTTGGATTACATAAACCAGTCACCCAAGTGCATTGCCTTTGGACGTAAGGTAAGTTTGATTTGTCCATTTGCTGCTTTCTCTTTCCTGCAATCTCTTATCTCACCACTGTATAATGACTTTATATTGCCTTATTTATTGAATTAGTGTAACTCACTGCCAAGAAAGAAGTCTGTTCTCATTGCTTTAGTATATATTCATGGGATGAGTTTTCGTAGGGCCATCTATTTTGTATTTCTTACTGGCCTTGTAAAGCCTTCATTTTTTCCCAGAATAGCAAGTTTTGATGATTGTACTACATTTCTTTGCCTGTCTCATGTAAAAGCTGCTCAAATTGTTTCATTTCAGACTAAATATCTTTAGAAAATATGGCCTCTATTCATAATTAATGTGCCCATTATAAAAATTCAGTTATTACCGAAAAATACAGTGAGGAAACAAAATCTGCAATCTCTCTAAATAGACTCCTTTCTGGGCTTTAATACATATAAAGTAACTTTTCCCAAGAGGGACCAGGATCAAAAAATCTTTTTATCCATTTGTCATTGCAGTATAAATGTATACTAAATGATTGCCAGTGATGTTGTGTGTTCATACCATGATTTCTATCGCCATCTTAAAATTAAATACCATCAAAAGAGCCTGAAATCACTGAAATGGCATGGTTTCACCTTAAGTTTTGTAGCTTTATAATCATTCTTCCAGAAAGCTTTCAGGGAAAACTTTTTTTTTCTCCACACTTTTTTCTTATTTTAAACCAGGTAAAATTAAACATAACAAAACAGATCATAAGAAAACAATTTAAGAAACACAGATTTCAAAGCAAGACCATCAGAGATCTTCACTGTATCATCTTGTCTCTTGTTTTCTTCCAAATAGTTGTCCGTATCTTCACACACAATGAATTCATACTGAACAATGTAGTACTAAACTGATCAGAACAGGATGATGAAGGCTTTTTAGGTCTTCAAGACCAGACAGTAGGGAGGTCAACAGTGGCTGCCATAGTGTCTCTCATTCTCTTGGAAATAGCTCTTTATGTATGTTGAAATTAAACAAAAGAAAATAGACTAATATCACTAATATCAGACTAATATCACTCTGAACAGCGAATAATAGTATTGCTAGTTTTTATATCATAATGTTACAGAATTAGCACTGGGTATCTTAGTGTCTCTTCTTCAGAGTATCTGTTCATTACATCGTGCATTATATAATCTATTCTCGTAAACTGTTTAGAAGTTCTACACATGTGTGAATCTGCATGTATACCTATGCTTTCTGTATTAGAGGAAAAAATAGATCAAAACAAGACAGCAAAACAAAGGGTAAACTTTTTTAACATTGTTAATAATCTTTACTCTTCAGTATCATTAGTCATTTAATTCAAACCACAAGATACCACTTTAAGATACCCTCTAGAACTGCTAACTACGGGTGAAGTTAAGTAACCCTATCCTACCATTCCACTCCCAGGTAAAATAATAAAAGCGTGACCACAAAATGATGGGCACAGGAATGATTGCTATTCACAATAGTCCCCAAACACAGGTGACCTAAATAGTCATCAACCAACAAATTAGTAAATTACTGTGTGTTGTCTGCTCGGTGGAATGTGGCCGGCACCCAGCGTTGGAGATGCTGGTGGTGCCTATAAGAGCAGATGAACCTTAGAAAGGTAATGCTGAGCAAGAGCCAAACACAGGCAGAGAAATGACCTAAGGTGACAGAGATGAGTAAAGGTTGCTGATGGGATGGGTACATGGCGGGTGACTGAGGAAGCACAAAGCCACGTCCCTGAGCAGCAGGAAGAAATGTTCTAGACACTAGATCTTGACTGTGCTAGAGGTTACGTGGCCATAAGCACAGACTGCATTTTCTTGTTCATAAATTCTTCCTTTAACGGAAAAGAAATGCAAATCATACTTAAAGCTAGAGTCTTAATTTTAGGATTTCTGATTTGAGCTCACCTTGTTTTAAAATAAAGATTATCCTTTCCATAGCCAAAGTATAATGTATTGTTTACGTTAGTGTACTCTTTAAGAGTGTTGACTGTTTTCTTTTTGAATTCCAGGGAGAATATGTTGCTGTAGTACGAGACTTTTACTTGTCTGTTTATTTTTTCAAAAAGAAAACAACTTCCAGGTAAGAATTGCTTTTGGTTAACTTTATTTACTCAAGAGGTTGCTACAGTTTTATTCATCCTTGTTTCCCTGTGGTCCAGTGATGTTTTGAGTTTTGTGTTACCTGACTTTGAAGCCATAGGAATCAGAGGTATAGTTTTTAACCCATGGAGAAGTGGGACTGGGGCAATATTAGTTTAAAAACCCAGGGAGTCTTTTCAGCCCAAAGCCCATACCCCCAAATTCCAGTCTGTGTACTTGGCGTCAAAATTAGATGTAACTTGAAAAGACTTTTCCAGATGTTTCTCATTCCCATCTTACGGATATAGGAATGAATATAAGCTTTGAAATACAAAGGTTTAAAATGGTTCAAACTTGGCCCATTTGAACCCTGTGTGTACTTCATGTTAATAAATACTTAAAGTGGAGATAATATTCACCTAGGAGAGTTGTAAAGACAAGTAAGATAACATGCTCAGAGGACTGGTACTAAGCGTTGACCAGCAAACCCTCTCCTCTTCCCGTTTTCCCAGCTGTAGTGAACATTTGTTTTCTGTGCAGTGTAATAAAGACCCTGACTTTAATGAAGAACCCAAAGATTAACAGGTACTCAGCCTAAGAATAAGGGATAGTGTAGGCATTACAGCAAATAGGTTTATCTGTTTGAATTTATTCTTGGAGGTATATTAGTTAGTCGTCTCAGTTAGTTTATGAGACTTATCCATACCTCATAAAGAAACCTAGGTTCAATGAGAAATTTGAGCAAGCTACACCCAGGCCAAAAAAAAAACCCTCTAGGAGAAGTGACTTCATTACTTAAATGGACTGGTTTCCATAGCAAGTTGGTATGATAGAATATTAATCACATCAAGTTTATATTGTATACTAATATATATTTGTAAAACAGAATGCTTGATTCTTAATCAGATATTGTTAAAAATTCTACTGTTACGTTTACTGATTTCTGAGAACTCTCCAATCTTGATTGTTAAGGCTTGAGACTCCCTTTTACTTTATTATAGCCATACTTCCCAGGAGACTTGAGGAATCCACAGGAAGTTTTTGTTTTCTTCCTAGGTTTACATTATCATCATCAAAAAATAAGAAGCATGCCAGGAACGGTTTTACGTGTGTGGCTTGCCACCCAGAGGAAGACTGCATCGCCTCCGGTCACATGGATGGCAAAATTCGCCTTTGGTCAGTGATCCACAATGCACAGCAGTCCCTTAAACTCCTGCTTCATGTTCATGCTGCAGGACAGGCCAGCTCTGGGTCAAAAACAAAGGCCCGTATTAGAAATGGACGTGCAGAGGAAGAAATAGGGAGCAGGCTTTGCAGCCACCTTCGTGTCTTTCACACCTGTGCTCTTCATTTTGTAGCCTTTTAAGGTTCCCAGCCTTAGGCTTCTAGGGAGAATGAGAAACTCCGTGCTGCCTATAATCATTTCACCAAAGAGAACTTTTCTGCCAGCCTTTACCCAAAAGAAAAATGATGACACTCAGTATCTTTCTTGAGTGACACTCAATATCTTTATTGAAGTGACAGTGATTGGACGTGAAAATGCATGTTTTGCACATGTCCAGAAAGCTTGATATTATAATTTATTACACTGGGCATGCCTTTACTGGAAGTAAGAATTTTGTTTTCTCCAACAGGAGGAATTTTGATGATGACAAGAAATACACTTACACATGCTTGCACTGGCACCATGATATGGTTATGGATTTGGCTTTTTCAGTGACAGGTAAGTGCAGGATTAATAAGTAAAATTTTAACCTATACAGAGCATACAATTTAATTCACCACATTTCCAATTTGAGAGATTTAAAGATGCACAGGCCACATGGATTGTGAACACTTGTTTGCAGCCCTGGCGCTCTGCACTTTGCCTAACTCAGTGCTGTATGTAGTGGGTTTTTCGAAGGCTCAGAGTTCCAGAGTAAACATTTGTGATAAAGTCAGCACACTGAGCCTACCTAAGCTATGCTCCATCTGTCTAAATGTGCGTCTCTGTGGTGGTCTGTCACTAGCTCTGCTCTGTCAGGATGCACCTAACAGGGGGAGCATTTACCTCCGTTATCTTGGTCACTGAAGAGGCGTCATTAGTTTCTTCCTACAGAGGGAAATGAGGCTTGCAGTTGATGGTGGCCAGCCTCAGGAAACATGGCTATAAGTAGAATTCAGACCTGGGTCTGGAAGACTTACTTCATTTAATATTCACTGTTTTAAATCAATTCAATCTGTGTTCTATATAAGTTGCATTATCAGTGTGGCTGTCATAGTACAGATACCTCTTAAGATTCTGTCTGCAACACAAATATGGAAGAGGACATTGTGTCTTTGATTGCTTTGAGCAGTTCACACCCACCCACATGGCATACGTAATAGCCATGTACTGTCCCGAACACTGAGAAGACAGGAAAGTGATTGTCTTTCAGATCTTCCAGGGTCTTCAGTGATACCAGTGCTCTGACCTGATCCTTAGGGTCACTCGGGTTTAACTCACTCGAGCCCCAGGAAGTGGAAGGCATCTGCCGCCTAACTAGACTGTGGACTTGGGCAGCAGAAGCTGACGTGTGCAGGACAAACCCAGCCGAACCCCGAGTAGCAAGGCAGGAGTGCTGTCGTGATGCATGGGCACTGAGTGTAGAAAGGGAGTAGAGACGAGTTAACCCTGCAGATGAAGAGTGTCTGTCTTCTCCATCCTGTGTGCATGTCCCCGGAATGCTAAGGAGCACTGGCCTGTGTGGCAGTGTGCGCACGGGCGTGTCCAGGTGTCTCCCCTCCTAACCCTAGCTCGGTTCCTCTGCCCTTCCTCTCTGCTTCCTTCCTCTGCTGTGGCCTCTGTGCAGGTCAGGGCAAGGACCAGTTGTAAACTTAGTAATGTGCGATAGGAACTTCTTGTGACTAGGATTCTTGCATGACAACTTGCCGGTGAAAGCCACTGGCATTGAAGTAGTGAAAGAGAGTCCTCTTAATGGATTGCTTTTTGGCCTGGTAACAGCTTTTCCAGACTTTTCATTGAAGCTAAGGTTTAGGTACAGACAGACCTAATTAGTGATTTCCTCTTTGATGAACTCACTTCGGTCTCTTGGGTTTATACTCAGTAGAGCAACTGCGGGGTCACGCAGTAATTCTGCTTTTAACTCTTTGATGACATTCCATTCTGTTTTCTGTAGTGGCTGCATTAAAAATTTCTTAGCAGCCGTCAGGGTCTGTGCATTCCCTTTTCTCCAATTGAGTTACTTTACATTTGCGTTAATGATGCTAAGCATTTTTCCATGTATTTGTTGGTCATTCTGAGAAATAGCTGTGCAGATCTTTTGCCATTTTTCAGTATATTTGTGGTTTAGCTACTGAGCTGTTCAAGTTCCTTATGTAATCTAGATATAGATTTTACCAGGAGTGTGTGAAATATAATCAAAATATGAATGTTGAAGTTTTTAAAAAATGTATTACAGTAAGAAGCACATTGCCTTTAATGCCCTTCAGAATCCTCCCTTCCCATTGAATGCCCTATGCCACTGCTCTGGTGGCCTCCTGGGGAGCTCTGGAAGTCCTGCTTCATGGGTGAATTTGGCTGCACTGTCATGGCTGCCTTATTGTCCTCCATTGATTGAAAACCTTTATAGCAGTTTCTGCCAAATAAAAACCTTAAAGTGCATCCCCGTCCACCTTATTCTCTGCTCTGGACTGCATGTCTTGCTGGCTTTTCCCCAGAGTCAGAATGGCCGGGAAAGGTGTATGCTGAGATAGCTGTGTGTTCACAGGGAGGGGAGTATTTTGATGGGCAGTGTCTTTACTGTGATAAGTTGTTTTTCTTTAGATATTCACTGAACTGTGTGATCATACCTCATAGTTTGCAAATATTTTCTCACCTATAGGTGTTGCTTTGTTCTATGGACTATTTCCTCTATACAGTAAGGTTGCCTGTGGGTAGGAATGACATATACTTCAGATTTCAAAATAGCTAGAGAGGATTTTGATTGTTTCTTCACAAAGAAAAGATGAGTGTTTGAGATGATAGTGTGCTACTTACTTTGATTTGATCAGTAGACCATGCGTGCATGTATGAAAATACCACATAAATTTGTATGATTACTTTGTCAATTTAAAATAAATTAGGCCCAATGTGGTAACACATACCTGTAATCCAAGCACTCAGAAGGCTGAGGCAGGAGGATTATTGCAAGTTCAAGAGTAGCCTGGGCCAACCTGAACTGCAGAGTAAGACTCTGTCTCAAAAGGACCAAGAACTAAAAGAAAAATGACTGGAAGTAATGATAAAATAAGACTTCAGTTTAAAAATATAAACGCACAGTGTATTGCTGCAGAGTGTAAAAGTGTGAATTGTTTTCCCTCTCTGCCCTGGCGTGTGAAGGCTCCAGCCTGCTGAGCGGCGGGCGGGAGTGTGTGCTTGTGGAGTGGCGCGAGGCGGGCGAGAAGAACAAGGAGTTCCTCCCGCGGCTGGGAGCCACCATCGAGCACATCTCCGTGTCCCCTGCCGGAGACTTGCTCTGTACTTCTCACTCGGATAACAGTAAGTGCGCTTCCTCGCTATGAGGAAACGGCATTCCCCTTGCTTGTGTCGCAGTGGAAAGTGGAGACCTAAAACTAACGAAAAGCAGCAAGGATCCGGAGCTCCTGCTGCTGCTGCTGCTCATCTTTTCTCCACACCTCCACCCCAAGGTGCCGGCCACAGCAGCAAACTCGGAATCGCTTTTATGAGGATGAAGTGCCCTGTGCTTGGCCATCACTGTGCCATTGAGATTTTCAGAATCGTTTGAAATGGGGTGATGGGGAGGTAAAGGCAGAGTTTCAAACTGGTGTCTCCATGAATAAAGGCGTTCACAGAATGCTGCAAGTATCATCCGAGTGTGAGTCTGATGGAAACGGAGGTGCCCATGCAGCCCCTAGAACTTCGCCTGCCCTGTGCCTAATGGCCAGAGTCAGGCCCCTGGGAACCCAGCAGCTCACTGCCTCCTTCCCCTTCGGGACAGAACCACTGTGGCATGGCGAATTCAGACTGGAGGGAGTTATTATAAATACTGTTGATACATAAGTAACACTAAAGTAGGCGTCATGTCCATAGACAGCAGTGTGTAGGAGGTAAGATTGTAACAGAGCTCCCATCCCCACCCCTCATGTCTCAGCTAAATCACAGAATGTGGCCCCGATTTTCTAGTACCACTGCCAAGTTCATTGAACTTATTAGGCTCTCTTCTTTTGACCACTTTCAGAATAAATAAATTCACTTTGAATTCTGATCTGCTAATATTTAAAGACCTTTTTTTTTCCTTTTGTTTAACCCACAGAGATAATGGTTATTCACCGAAACCTTGAGACATCAGCAGTAATTCAAGGCCTGGTAAAAGGTATTACAGAATCCATTGGGTCTGGAATGATTGAAATTACATGTATTTAAAAGTCTCTCCCACTTCAACTATAGTTTGTCACTTCTTTTACAGATAGAAGTATCTTGACTGGCTTGACGATTGATCCAAAAACTAAAGCTTTAGTTTTAAATGGAAAACCTGGTCACCTGCAGTTTTATTCTCTCCAGAGTGATAAGCAGTTATACAATGTAAGATTCTGATCCCTTGACTAACTTTAAACCTAATGCAAATTCTCCACAGTACCTGAGGTCAAGTGAAGTAATTTCTTTGGGTGTTTCCAGTACGTGATCTTCTGCCTGTGTTTACTTGAACATAGTGTTATCTGTGGTGAGTTTATTGTTGAGAGAGCATAACTTAGAGACCACTATTGCAATGACATGGAAGCCCAGCTCTCTTCCACTTGCTGTGTTCTGTTTGTTCCAGAACGCAGACCCACTGGCGGTCTCCTGCACGTATGCATTTGAGTGCAGGATAAGGAGCTCACAGGTGTCGGCAGTACTGATCTGCGTCTGTCGTGCAGTGAGGCAGCCCTGCCCATAGCAAAGACAGCATTTTCAGTGTAGGTCGAAGAGGAACATTTCTGACAGCCCTGAGAGACACTTTCCTGTGCTCTGCACAGATTTGTGTCATAGTAACTGTGACACATCTCTTTCTGCGTCCCTTAAATCCTTCAGAAAGAAAGATGCCTGCTCCTTGGTGCACATAGTACAGCTTGAGCGTCACTAATCTGAAAATGCAGTTCCAGCTGCTGCAAAATCTGCAACCTTGTCAGCACCCGCGCAGCACAGGCAGATTCTGTGCCTCACCTCCTGTGAGGGGTTGCCCCACAAAGCGGGTGTACTGCAAGCGCTGTGTAAAATTACCCTCGGGCTTGCGTATAAGGTGTATGAAACAAAGGAGTTTCTTGTCTGAACTCGGGTTCCAGCCCCAAGATTCGTCACATAAGCAGATTCCAAACCGCAACAAAACCTGAAATCTGGAAGCAGTTCTGGTTCTGAGCAGTTAGTAGCCATTTTGTTTATGTAATACACATGCGAGGAAAAGGGTTTTTAAAAATCATTAATAAAACACTGGCCTACTTAGGCCATTGCCTGTTTTATTCCCCATTCAAGGTTGTAAGTTTATTTCAGAGCTCTTATTTCTATTGATGGAATTTAGCCTTTGGATTTCACAGAAAGTTATTCTTTGTTTAGAGAAAAGCACTGTTACAGGTGAAAGGTTCTGTTAAATCATACAGTGGGTCTTAGCCCGAATATATTAAGGTCATAATAGAATAATCACTACCAAACTGATACTGTACCATGATTCCCCTTTCTAATAGCAAATCTGATGTCTATAGTAATCATTGGTTCATTTTTCCTTTTGTCTAAAAATCTACTACTTTTAGAGTCTACAAGTTATCTTGGATGTATTCAGTTGTTCCTTGAATGGTGTAATGTGCCTACATTAACAAGGATTTCAATTCTTTCTAACACATCAGTTAGATATCGTGCAACAAGAATATATCAACGATTCCGGTTTATTTCAAATTGAGCTAACAAAGGCTGCATTTGGCTGTTTTGGTAACTGGCTGGCCACAGTGGAGCAGCGGCAAGAAAAGGAATCGGAGCTTGAAATGCAAATGAAACTGTGGAAATACAATAAGAAAACACAAGGGTAATGTTACTGTGTAGCCACTTTGAATTTCAAATGATAACATTGAGTTCCTATTTTATGGCTGTTGTTGTCAGTCTTCAAGATGTTGCCGTTTGATGGGTTTTATACTTAGAGACCTGGGGAAGATGTTGCCCTCTACAGTTAAGCTTTCCATGCTGAGAAGCCACTGGGGTCTTCCAAGTTATCTTGTCATCTCACTGCACAGATGAAGAAACCAGAAAATAGCAATCCCAGCACCCAGTCCCCACCCTAGGCCAATCCAGAATCAGAACCCAGCTGTTCCCTGGCTCTTCCAGTAACATCTGCTGCCTTCCTTGGGAAAGTGGGAATACAGGTGTCGTGTGTCACAGGTGTCATGATTAGTAGGAGCCCACTGGTTTCCCAGCTCCTCACTCTGTGCCGACAATTAGGCCGGTGCTTGCAGGCCCGTTGTGTTACTCTCCAGGAGAGTACTGTAAGGTAAACGTGCTGTCCACTGAGAAGTTATGACTCCTGAGCAATCATGATCGTGTAAAGAGCTCAGTGGTCGCATATAACTCCTAGCACTGCCCTCTTGATCTGGGAACAAACTTGAGGCTGTTGAGAGGACTGAAAACAGCAGACAGTAACCGAGGCAGACAGGACAGTTGTTTTCATTCCATGTTTTCTTGCTATGAGTAGGATCTTGCACGGGCATTCTTTTTTTTTTTTTTTTTTTTTTTTAAGTCTATCAAAAGTAGACAGTGAGACGTCTGGGTTCTATGGAGTTTTCCTGCAGAATTTGCTCCAGTAAGCTTTAAGAAATGATTTAGGGCCCTTAGTTTATATTCATTTTTATCAGCGAGATAACTGCTATCCATAGTTTATCCCTGAATAAGTCACACTAGAACTCTTCCCCTCCAGTGACCATTAAGGAAGAGAGCACACATGCTGGGGATATAGCTCAGTGGCACAAGCACCTGCCTGGCAAGTGTGAGGCATAAGTTCCTTCCCTGGTACAAAAACAAAAGAGCCCACAAATATTTGTAATTCTAGGATCTCTCAGTTGCCCATTCTTAAAGACACTTTTGTCAAATATATTCTTTGTCACAGTTTTGTAGGCCAATGTGACAGCTTAGCATATCATTCTGATGTAAGAATTGTATGTGAAAAAATCATAATGTGGTTTCTCCTAGGTTTGTCCTTAACACAAAGATTAATATGCCACATGACGACCACATCACAGCTCTCTGTTTCTGTAATGCAGAAAGATGTGAAACTCTCACCTTGGTGACAGCCAGCAAAGATGGTCACTTCAAAGTGTGGATATTAACAGATGATTCCGATATCTATAGTAAGTATTAAATAGATGGTGTTAAAATAGTGCTCTGTCTTAAGAATCAACTATATTTATCTTATTACTTGTAGCCATTTGGGAAGCACATTTTCTACCTTGATGAATTCTATGGGATATGCTTAATTTTAATAGAAATAAGAGACTACATTTTTGCATATCTTTTTCCAAAATTCTGTACTTTCTGGAATAATCATATGCCAGTTAACTTGGGAGAGGGTACAGAGAAAGACTTCTGCCGTTATTTCTCTGGTCCACTAGGGGGAGATCAGTGCCTCCAGCAAGGGCCTGTACCTCCAGTCCAACAGTGCTTTGCAGCATTCTAATTTAAAGAAGTTGCGCTGCGCAGTTTTGTGTTTTGTTTTGTTTTGTTTTGTTTTGTTTTGTTTTTTGTTTTGTTCTGTTTGGTGTGGGGATCAAACTCATGACCTCACACTTGCCAGGCAGGCTCTTACACCACTGAGCTAAATTCCCAGCTCCAAATGTTTGTTTGTTTTGTTTTTTGGTATGGGGCATGTAACTCATGACAGATTTGGGTCACACTTGCCAGGCAGGCTCTTACATCACTGAGCTAAATCCCCAGCCCCACACAGGTTGTTTTTGTTTCTTAACCTTTAATGTCACTAGTATTTGTGCCATCTTTTAACATACAACTTACGTCTCCCCAGAAAAAGCGGTTGGCTGGACCTGTGACTTTGTCGGTAGCTATCATAAGTATCAGGCAACCGACTGCTGCTTCTCTGAAGATGGCTCTTTACTAGCAGTTAGTTTTGAAGAAATAGTTACTATATGGGATTCAGAAACGTGGGAACTTAAATGTACGTTTTGCCAGCGAGCTGGGGAAATAAGGTAGGTGAATCACTCAGTTACTATGTCATGTTTTTTAATTTATTAAATAAAATGTTAGACATCAGTAATAATTTATGCTTCACCCAAAGGTAGCCCATAGGTGAGGGGAGCAGGCAGCTAACCAAATGTTAGAGAGCTAAAAAATCCTGAGTACATGAAATACGTGCTAACACTTCCAAAATCAGGATTAACATTTACTTCTTGGTGTGCAGAGTTTTTCTTTGCAATGAACACTTTCAAACGTGTGCTATGTAATAATAGAGGGTGGACATTCGCCCTAGTATATCCAAATCATGCTCATCCTCTGCATAAAAAGTGCTGTTCCCAAAAGTCACTGTTTTCTGAGAAGGAAAGGGGAAAAGAGCAGTATCCTGCAACATACTACAGATAACTGGGCATAAGGAGAGAGCGGTGGATAGTTAATAAAGCTGTCCCTAACGTTAGGAATGTAGCTCAGGGCAGAGAGGACTTCCCTTTATCCAACCTTCAGCACAGCAAAAAGTGAAAAAATAAAATTGTCTCTAATTCCCATCATACCTGATTCTAAATTTAATTTATAAAACTTCCTTCAAAATTCAGATTGCAAGTTTTCATCTAGGTAGAATATAAAATAAGTTGTCATTTTAGATACATTTTCTGTTACGTGTTGATTGTTATCCTGCGTGGCATTTTAGAGAACTGATCATGTAACCTGTTTTCCTAAATAGATAAAATGCTTATGTAAACCCTTTTCTTTTACCTTCCTTAGTTTCTGTCTCTTCAGTATAAGTGTAAACAGAATGATAAATGTCTTTTAAAATCTGCATCACACATGATTAGCATAGTGTGTGGAGGCCAAGTGCCTTGTAACTAAATGTGATCAGACTGGTTGTGGCTGACTTCCGTGGTTTTGACCTAGGCGCCTTTGCTTCGGGAGATTAACATGCTCCAAGTATCTTCTGGGTGCTACTGAAAACGGCATTCTCTGCTGCTGGAATCTCCTCAGTTGTGCATGTAAGATACTTTGATATGCTCCAGTGATTTGGCAAAGCACACAGAAGAAGTCGTGACGATATGTGCTTTGCTGATGTTTTCAGATTTAGGGGTCTGTCATACCTCCATGAATCTACCTAGGCATACTGTGACTGTTCACATTGACACATGGCACTGTAATAGAGCACTTAGATGCCACCTAATTATTATAAATTATCTTTGCTTTGCCCCACTGTCTTCACAGTGTATGACTTTCTGTTGCCCGTCATATTTTTCTTCTTCATGACAGCTGGAGAACTCTTTGTGCTAATCTGTAAGCGTGTTAACCTGGAGTCTCCCTGACAAGACAAACATGAATGAAGTTGCCACAATCCCTCTAACAAATGTGAATTCAGTGCCATTTTCCTCAGTGGAGGGCTGGAAAGATGTAGTGGTTGCTTAGTAACAACTGTGTTGTATTCTCTGTGGTGACTGTGGTTGACATCTCACCTACTTCTAGCAGCAGCAGACAAGCAGTAGGCCTCAGCCTCCATGCACAGAACACCTTCACAGCTCGCAGACTGACTGGAGGTGCACTTTGTTTTTCTGTTTCCTGTTCGTCACTTCAGTACCTCTTCCCCAGATTGTTTCACTGTGACTCCACTGTTAGTTGGCCACATAAAACCCTCCCTAAGAATAGCACAATGGGTTGGCCTAGGAAGGATGTAGGACCTCAGCCTTGCCTTCGGCAAGGCCCTGAAGCCAGTCACCTTTCCTCCCCGCAGTGGAGTGGAGCGCAAAGCTAAGCGTCCGAGTTATGGAACCTGACCCACAGTCTGAGAACATTGCCGCGGTGTCTTGGTCTTCAGAGGGTTCAGACTGTAAGTACAAACCGCAGCTTGAAAGCTAAAGGAAATCTGGTAGCGTGGGTTCTTTTTAATGTCTTTAACGTAACTGAGTCAAACTTGCCTTCAACTGCAGTGTTCATTTGAAGCCATGGTGCTTGTGGCTGGCCCCTTCTTCTTTGTCCCTGCATTTTATAACGTGCACCTTCATACAGAGTTCTGGGTGAGCTCCAGTGCTAACAGGCCCATCGCTGCTCAGGGTTAAAATTCCAGCAGAGATTTCACTCCCTTGCTGCATCCCCAGGTCACGCAAGCTGTACCTGGTCCTCCTCCATGCTTTTTGAACAGTGTTTTCATGTCTTTTCTGGTGCTTCTGGCAAAAACTCATTCAGTAATGGTTTCCTGAGTGTCTTCTGCAGTGGCTCCTGGTTAGGGAGCCAGGTCCTTCTTATCTGTTTCAAGTTCAGTCTTCACTGCCAGCCCACTTGGCTCATAATAAGCACTCAGCAGATGTATTATGGGCTGAACCATTTGCCCTGGGGGGTGAGACCCAGAGTTCATGTGGTCTGCCAGTGTGAAGCTGGAAGGAACCTTTGCAGGCAAAGTGTCACTGTTTGTTTTTTCCCTCCAGTGTTTGTATTTAAACCTAGTGAGCCAAGGCCACTGTATATTCAGAAGAATGTCTGCAGAGAAGAAGTCCAATGGGGCGTGTTTGTTCCCCGAGACGTCCCTGAATCATTCACCTCAGAAGCTTACCAGTGGCTAAACAGATCCCAGTTTTATTTCCTAACTAAATCGCAGGTAATTGCTTCCTCAAAAGAGGTGACCACTTGGTACACGTACTTTTCCAAAGTAATATAGTCCATGCCTGGTGGTACAAATTTATTTCTAGGTGAAATAGTACAATTAAAGAGTGTGGTCCGTTAACTCTGGCACAAGAAGGCAAAAGGCAACAAAAATACTTTAAATCCTATTTATTAGCGTGGTTCCTGTTGTCAGTGGTGGTGGTAATTTTGATATTGAATTTGCCATTATGAAAAATGGTAGCTTGAGTTGGATCTATTGGTTGGATTTTATCACTATAACAGAGGTTATTAAATACATCTTAAATCTTTCTGTAAGCAGAAGTGTATCAGAATAAAAAATGGACCTCATTTTTGAAGACCTCATTTGGATTTTCAGTGCACAGTTTAACTGTGGCATCACCCATTGATCTCTTTCAGAGCTTACTGACCTTCAGTACAAAGTCTCCAGAAGAGAAGCTCACACCAACAAGCAAACAGGTGGGTTCAGCCACTCACAGTGCAGGCTCCGTCACCTCCCTCACGGGACGCAGCTGGGGGGCGCACGTCGCCCCTGGCCCCGAGTGGAGTTCTAGAACATGCATGTAGAAACCGATGAGCCTCTTTTGAAGTCATAGTGCTTTTTAAACTGATTTAATTTACATTATTGGTATTCTGTGATTGTGATTTGAAGTGTCACAGTTGGCCCTTTAGTACATGGATTGAGACATTTTGAGACGATCACTTGATCGTGGATTGGAAATACTCGAGGGGAAAAACCATGCCGAAGCATAGAAGGCTGTGGGTGGGTGACACAGCCGTCCTGGGCCGTTGGACACAAAGGGCGTGAGCCCCCTCAGCCTTTCTTACCACAGGCTCTGGAGCCAGGGCCCATTGACACAGAGGAGCAGCTGCAGCACCGCAGGCTTCTTAGGAAGCTTTCTTCTTAGGAAGCTTTGTGCCATGACCACAAAGATCATCTCTTACTTGGAGTTTTTAATTCAACATTGTATTTCTAAAAAACCTATATTGCTTACCGAGAAATTTTCAGATTCACACACTGTCTGTTAAGGCAGATCTGCCGAAGCTGTGGAAGCTTTGACCTCCACTGTTCACATCCGCACACCCCACACTTCCCTTCCGTCCCCTGCTTGTCATGAGAGAAGTCAAATTGGTCAGTGTGTGTTGTCATAACCAAGTAAATGCATGGCCAAGTTGTGTAGTCACACACATCGCTTTTCCTCTTGTGACCAACTTTCTGTTTTCTCTGGAGGAAACAGCTGCCTTTTTCTCAAGGTCTCTGACTTCCCCCATCAGGACTGGTTGCTCTCTCGGTCTCCATCCTCCATTCCATGTTCCCTCCTGCTGCAGGTCGGTTCACCCCTGCTTTTGGCAAAGCACATTCCATTGGTGCCGGGAGGTAGATGCAGGACCTCACATGTTCTGAAATGTTTTTATTCGTTCCTGGATGGCTTGGTTAGGTAGAGAGTTGTAAGTTAAAAAGCACTTTAAAGGTGTTGTTCTGATCCTTTACAGCCTCTGGCATTACTGGAAGTGCTCCACCATTCTTGTTCTCTGATCCTTCATCTTTGACTTTTATATCTCCTAAAACTTGCTGAATTTATTGTCAGTCATCTTCCACAGGCCAGGGACTGAGTCACACTCGACACTTGGGATGCATTAATGAGCAGATAATCAAGTCTCTAAACTGGGGGTGTTTATAGTCTGCAGGAAGACATGGGCACTAAACAACAGGCATTACATAAGTAAAATGTGTGTTCCTTTAGGAGAGGAGAAGGACAGAGGGAGCCGGGTGAGGGAGGAGGCGCTGGCAGTTCTAAATGGAGGTGGAGAAGGACCTCAGGAAAGCTGACTTCGCTCTGAAGTTGGAGCCCGTGCACAGTCTGCAGTAAACAACTAAGAAGGATCGGGCTGCTTTTCCCGTCACTTCTGTTCTTTCTTATGGAACTTTTGTTTTTCAGTGCTGGGCCTTCTAAAATGGTGCTCTAATTTTTTCTCCTGTTTTCTGGGAGGCTTTCTCATCTTTTGTCAGATCTTTTTCCCTCTCTTTCATGGTCGTTTCCATCAGGCTTTTGTTTTCGGTCTGTTTTGGTAGCTTTGTTTGTTTGCGTAGGTTTTGATCAGAGTCCAGCAGTTCTTGGCTGTCTGCTCCTCCTGAGAGCGGGACACAGAGCTGTCTGGAAGAGGGCCTGCGTGGAGCCACTCCCTACTTGGTGAACTGTCACTGAGGAACTCTGTGGGGTCAGCTGTTCTAGGTCATCTCTCAGGGTGGTCACATTGAGCTTGTGCTTCCCAACCTTTGCCCAAAGGACCTAAACACACTTTTGTTTCCCGTTCACCAGAGGATGCGCTTGGAGTCCTGTGCTGGGACGGAGGGAGAGCTGTGCGCCTCCCTCGTGCATTTTCACCGGCCCGGCTGGGTTTTAGCACACCCTTCACCTGTGCTGTCGGTCACTCCGCATGTGTGGGGTTCTATGCTGTGAATCAGGGAGCTTCTTGGCTTTTCCCAGAGTTTACACTTTGGCTTTCTCGGTTCTGTGTTCGTCATCCTTCAACCTGCTCCCTCCTTCCAGCCTGTTCCTCTGTCACTGCGAGCTCATGACCTTTGAAAGCCCTTCTGCTGTCATTCTTTGTAGAATTAAGCAAAGAAGAAGAGGCAGGGTTGGTTCTGTCATCTAAGTACTGTAGTTAGCTTTCCCCGAAGTCAGGGCCACACTTGCTTCATGTGCAGAATGAACGACACTAAATGATTTCGTAAGTTCCTTTCATCCCAGATGTTTTATGATTTCCTTTTTATTGAGGTGATTTTCTTTTGTCTTAACTACCTACAGCTGCTAGCAGAAGAAAGTCTTCCAACAACCCCATTTTATTTCATACTGGGAAAGCACAGGCAACAAGAGGATCAAAAACTCAGTGAAACGTCAGAGAGTGAGCTGGTGCAGCTCCCTGTAACAGAGAACATCCCTGCCATCGCTGAGGTGAGTGGCACAGCAAAGCCTGTGAAGCGTGAGTCGCATTGGTTTTTGAATACTCACTGGTGTGCTGTCCAGCATTAATACCCGAAGTAAGTAAGATGGCCCCGCGATTTGGGATTCTTTTGGCTGCACCTGGGGGGTCAGGAAAAGGTTTGCCTAAATGTAGAAAAGCAGACCTTTCTTCAGTGTGCTTTTGCCGCTGGGAAAGCCTTTTGTGTTAGGTTCTCAGAACCTACAATGAAAGTACTTACGACATGTTGTGGCAGAGGGTAATTTTTTTAAATCATATTGTTTTCTCTTTGGCTGCAGCTGCTGCACACTCCAGCCCACGTGCTGCCCTCCGCTGCTTTCCTGTGCTCCATGTTTGTGAATTCACTGTTGCTGTCTAACGAGACCAAAAGGTAAAGCCGTTCTTCAGACGGGTCTGTTTTGTCACGCAGTCTGTGTCAGGAAATAGGATGATTTGTGTTGTCCTGGAGGAGGACATTCTTCCACTGATTTGCCTGTGTTTCAGTTTTAAAGTATAGTTAGGACATAGGACCGGTCAGTGAAACCCTGAAAAACAGTGCCATCTGTTGAAAATGGCCACAAAAACCAGCACATGTGTGTGCTTACACATGTGTATGATGTGAAACTAGAGCTCTTATAAATTCACCTGCTGTTTTATAATAACCCATAGTTTTTAAAGTGCCTTCAAGACAAAATCCTTTGTTTGCCTTTTCTATATGGTTATATTTCTACATATCCTTAAGTTAGAAAGTTATTTTCTATAACTTTCTATAACTTTCTTGCAATAGTGTTTGTTTCTCTGTGTTACGTTAAAGTGCTGAGGAAACCCCTGATGATGTCGATATGGAAGAAGAAAAAGAAAGTGAGGATTCAGACGAAGAAAGTAATTTTACCGAACACGTCCAGATTACAAGTAACACAGATTTTCGAGAAGACATTATACATCAGCTGTCGAAATCGGAAGAAAAAGAGCTGAGGAGATTCAGGAAAGTGGACTACAGCTGGATCGCCGCCCTGTAGGCCTTGGAGGGAGGGTGGGCCGGGCGTCCTGCACTTCCTGTTTTTGATTGTTTGTTGATACCCAAAAATATATTTTTAATGTTGTTTGTGTTCTTAAAATATTAAATGTTGACAGCTAGTATTACACCGCTGGGTGCGCATCGTGCTGGCAGCTGCTGGACGGTTCCATTGTCGTGTCTTATCTGTTATCTTGAATCCTGTCACCTCAGAACCTAGTTGACACAGCGCAGCGGGGACTGGGCCTTATGTAGTGTGTGTCTCCTTAGCCCCACGTCGGAGAAGATGTAAAGTTGGTAACTGAGACGCATTCAGCAGCCAGCAGTGACCTGCACTGGAAGGAAGGGCTCCGTCCTCCGTCCCTGTTGGTGTCTTTACCCCAGGGAAACCTAGAGCTATCAGATCACTTACATTCCGCTGGCCGTACTGAAGCTGTTAGGGGCACCTAAGATCTCACACGTGCAAATTCAAATCATCTGGCCCACGTTTCCTATTGCTAACTGGGAAACAGTCCAAGGGCCCTATTTATGTTATAGCAATAAAGTTATGACATCTAAACTACTTAGCATTTTACATTTTCCAGTTTCTGCATAAGAATTCCATAAAATTTATATAAAAGTATTAACATAAAACAGGAAAGCGCACAAGTCCTAGGAGTACACGCCGGTGAATGCTCACGAGACTGCTGTGAGGGCCTTGGAGCAGTACGCGCTAAGGCGTGCACAGGCACCCCCATCACCCAGCAGGTTAGAACCTAATCCCCAGTCTGTTGGGCTTGGAAGTGGGGCCTTTGGGAGATGATTAGTCAGGATAAAGAAAACACAGAGCTCTTTCACCTCTTCTGTCATGAGATGACACAGCCGTCTGTGAAGCAGGAAGCCAGCTCGCTGGACATCACACCCGATGCTGTTTTGTTGGCCTTCCAGCATTCAGAACTGTGAGACAGATTTCTGTGTATGGTGTTTTGTTAAAAGCTGCCTGAGACAGGTCTGTGGGATTGTGTTTTGCTTAATGTAGCAGCTCACAAACTGCATTTCAGGTGGGCAGGTTAGGGGGTTTAGTATGTTCATAGCATTGTTCATCATTGCTGCAATTTTCAAATAGTTCATCACCCCAGAAGTGCCCATTTACCCCAGGCAGTCTTTTTTTAAAGAATCAATTGTAAGAGGAAAACAAAATGGACAGATTTCTTGCAGTCCCTCCCCACATTCATACATAGCCTTGCCCTTTATCACTGTCCTTGTCCCCAATTATCCCCTCCCCCACCAGAGCATACACTCTGGGACAACCGAGAACTCTACCCCTGATAGTCTTGATCACTTCAAGGCCCCCACTCACGGGTTCATGCTTGGTATTTTACGTCCCAGGAGTTGGGACCAGTGTCTCCATCAGGATGGTATTTTACAGAGTACTTACTGTTCTGAAAATGCAGGGTTAGTTGTTAGGCCAGTCTTTGAGGCTTATGCTAATCCCAATGGACTCTTGAGCTGTCTTTGCTGCTATTCTTCCTGGAAGACTGGTTTGTGGTTTAGCTTTTGCTCTCACAGTGCTGCCAGCCTCCTCTTAATTGCTTAGCATCAGGATATCCATTGTGTGTGAAAACACTGGCAGACCTGAACTGCTCTCTTGTTTTAAGTTAATGCCAGAGTTGTATAGTGACTGCCTTTCAGCGACTTAGAAATTGTGTGGGCACGAAGGCCCGTCCCAGGGTGGCACTCGCACTTCACAACTGTGCAGACAGAAGGCCTGGGCCTGTCTCCTGCTGTGGAGCTTCTGCCCCAGGAGCAGTGGGCCTCCGTTAGTCACAGCAGACCCTTGGGGGAGCAGCTCCCTGTAATGAAGCGTGTAGGCTTGGGGAGGGGAGGGAGACCCCACCTCTTAGCCTAGCGTTGAACCTCTGCAACATGTACCTGGCTTCAGTGCCACCATCTGCGGCTGCTTTTGCTGCCAAAGTTTACTAGATATTCTTTTGGTTTTTTTAATGATTAAGATAAAAGAGGACATAGTAACACAGGTCAAAACAGAACAATTTAAGCAACATAGTGTTTCACCACAAGACCATCTGACATAACAGTAGCTACCATAGTGTCTCCTTGAAATATTTGAGTATACCTTCATATACTGTAGTATCAAACATAAAAAGACAGTGTAAAACCATTCAAGAGAACGAAAGTATTACAGGGTATTCAGAACCAACTAACAGAAAACGAACAATAGTTTCTATATTATCTCCTTGTCTATAAAAATTTTTGGTTATACTGTCACATATAAAATCCAATAAGATACAGCATGATAAAAGCGATGGAGACAGAAGAACAAAAGCTTGGTAGGACTTCAAAACAAGATGATAAAATCATCACTAGCTATTATAATGTCTTGTTTTCTTCAAAACAGCTGTTCATACCATCACAGACAATAAAATGAAACAACCCAGATTAAAACCATCCAATTAATGAATGAAAACTTTATAAGGTTTCAAAACAATATAATGGGGAATCCTGATTACCACATACTTCTATGTACTCATTTCTTGTACTAGGGAAACTATTCGGTATTTATACATGTGAGTGTAATTTATTTTGCTTATGAGTATGATCTCAAGCTGCATTCATTTATTTATAAATATCTCAATGTGATCATTCTTTATAGCTGAGTAGTAGTCCATTATATAAAAATACAGGTTGTTTCCAAGATCTGGCCATTACAAATTGTTCTGCCATAAGCATATATCGCTGTGGTATGATGTTTTCAGTTCTTCTGGGAATATGCCTGAAAGTGGAATAACTGGATCAAATGGGACTTACAATCTCAGCTGTTTGAGAAATCTCCAGACTGACCTCCACAATTGTTGCACCAGTCTACACTCCCACCAAAAGTGCAGAAGAATTCCTTTTTAGCCACAGACTCTCCAGCATTTGTTGCTGGTGGTTTTCTTGATCCTGGCCATTGTTTCTGGAGTGAGATGGAATCTCAGTGTGGTTTTAATTTGCATTTCTCTAATGAATAATGATGATGAACATTTTTTCATGTATTTATTTACCATTTGCATTTCTTCATCTGAGAAGTGTGTATTCATCTCAGATGCCCATTTTTGGATTGGATCCTTGAATTTTGGGGGTCTGATTTTTTTTAACTCTATATGTTTTAGACAGAAGTCCTTTGACTGAGGGACAGTTCACTAAGATTGTTTCTCAGTTTGTAGTTTTTCTTTTCACTGTGCTAGAGATTTCTTTTCATGTGTAGAGACTTTTTAAAAAGACGTGATGCCAGTTATTGATTCTGGGAAGTATTTCCCACGTGGTTTGATTCCTGTTCAGGAATTCTCTACCTACTCCTATGTCTTCAAGGTTTTTACCTTCAAATAGATTTAGTGTTTCTGTTTTAATATTCAGATCTTTGATCCATTTAGATTTTAATTTAGTACAGGTGATAGGCATGGTCTAGTCTTAGATTTTGGCGTATGGAGAGCCAGTTTTTCCAACACCATTTATTAAAGAGACTGTCATTCTTCCAGTGAACATGTTTGGCCCCTTTATCAAAGATATGGTGGTTGAGTGTGTTTGTAGTTGTGGTTGTATCTTCTAATCTATTCCATTGATTTTCGGCTCTGTTTTGATTCCAGTACCATATTGATTTTACTACAATTGCTTTGTAGTATAACTTCAAGTCAGGGATTGTGATGCCTCTGGCCTTGCCTTTGCTGCTTAGAACTGTCTTTGCTATTCTAGGTCTGTTCTGGTTCCAGATGAATTTTAGAAGTGATTTCTCAAAATCTATGAGGTATATTGATGGTATTTTTATTGGGATTACATTGAATCTGTATAAGAGTTTTGGGAGAATGACCATTTTCACAATATTTACTCTTCCTATCTATGAGCAAGGGATGTCTTTCCACTTTTTGAGATCCTCTTCAGTTTCTTTTTTCAGGGTATTATAATTTTCCCTATATAGATCTTTCACTTCTTTCGTGAGAATAATTCCTAAATATTTCATTTTTTTGGTTGCTAGTATGAAGGGTGTGGCTTCTCTGTGATTTTGTTGTTAGTGTATAGAAATTCTATTGATTTTTGAATATTGATTTTGTATCCAGCTACATTGCTGAATTCATTTATTATATCTAGGAGTGTTTCAGTAGAATTTTGGGGAGTATCATGTCATCTGCAAACAATGATAATTTAACTTATTTTCCTATCTTTACCCCTTTTATTTCTCTTTCTTGTCTAATTGCTCTGGCTAGTATTTCCAGTACTAAATTAAATAGAAGTGGTGATAAGTGACATCCTTGTCTTGTGCCTGATTTTAAGGTAAAGGCCTTCAGTTTTTGGCTATCTATTATGATACTAGCTGTTGGTTTGTCATAGATCATCTTTATTATATTGAGATAAAGACCATCTATTCCAATTTTCTGTAAGGTTCTTCTCATGAATGAATGTTGGACATCAAAAGCTTTTCTGCATCTATAGAAATGATCATTTGATTCCTACTTTTGGCTTTATTGATATAGTGGATTACATTTATTCATTTACGTATGTTGAACCATCCCTGCATGCCTGGGATGAATCCCACTTGGTTATCGTGTATAATCATCTTGATAATTTGCTGCATCCTATTTGCCAGTATTTTATTGGAGATTTTTGCATCTGTGTTCATTAGAGAGATTGGCCTGTAGTTCTCTTTTTTAGTTGGGTCTTTCTCAGATTTTGGTACTAGAGTAATATTTGCTTCCATGAATGACTTAGGAAGGATTGCTTCCCTTTCAATTTCATTGAAGAGTTTGAGGAGTGTCAGCATTAAGTCTTCTTTGTATTTCTTGTAGAATTCTGCAGTGAATCCATCTGGGCCTGGGCTTTTTTTGTAGGTAGGGACTTAATTACATTTTCAATTTCATTAATAGAAATTGGGTTATTCAGCAGTTTTACATCTTCTTGACCTAGCTTTGGTACTTTATATGTTTCTAGGAATCTGTCTGTTTCTTCTGTATTATCAAACCTATGAGTGTAGAGGTTTTCGAAATAGGTGTTGATGATCTTCTGTATTTCTACAGAGTCTGTAGTGATTTCGCCTTTTTCATTCCTTATTGCGTGAATTTGAGCTTTTTTTAATAAGGTTGGCTAAGGGCTTATCAATTT